CAAGATAGACCCAAACACAATAATAGTGGGCGATTTTCATTCCTGACTCTCACCAAAGGACCGGTCAACCAAACGAAAGATAAGCAAAGAATGCTCTGAACTAAATGACTTCAAATGGACTTACCAGACATCTACAGGAGTTTTCCATCCAACAAATACCCAATCACATTCTTCTAATCAGCCCATGGAACATTCTCCAAAATGATCATATCATAGTTCACACAAAGAACTTAAGCAAAGCCAGGTGTCGGTGGCTTACACCTATAATCCTAGCTACTCAGGAGTCTGAGATCTGAGGATTGCCATTCAAAGCCAGCCAGGGCAGGAAAGTCCGTGAGACCCTTAGCTCCAATTAACCACCAGAAAACAAGAAGTGGTGCTGTGGTTCAAGTGGTAGAGTGCTCATCTTGAGCTGAAGAGCTCAGGGATAGCTCCCAGCCCCAGAGTTCAAGCCCCATGACAAACAACAACAAAAAAGAACTTAAGCAAATACAAGAGGATTGGCATAATCCGTAGCATCCTATTCAACTACAGCAGATTCAAACTATTCTTCAACAACAAAACATACTGCAGAAATCACTCAAATACATGGGTACTGAATAACACATACTAAATAACACGTAGGTCATAGAAGAAATTAAGGAAGAAATTAGAAAGTTCTTCAATTCAATGAAAATGAAAACATATCACAATGGAACCTCTGGGATACAGTAAAAACAGTGCTAAGGGGAAAATTCATAGCCCTAAGTGTACATATGAAGAAAACAAATAGCTCAAGTAAACAACCTCATGATGCTATTAAAGCTGCTAGAAAAACAAGAAAAAATCAAAACTACTGGACAGAGATATAGCAAAGATTGGGACAGAAAATAATGACACAGAAACTAAAAAACTATACATATAATCAATAAAACAAAAAGCTTGTTTTTTGAAAAAAAACTAATAAAATTGACAGACTACATGCAAGATTAATGAAAAACAGAAGAGGAAATTCAAATCAATAAGACCATAGATGCTGCCAGAAACATTACAACAAACATCCAAGAAATCCAAATGGTTAAAAAGACTACTTTCAAATTATACTCACTAAAGAAGGAAAACCGAGCAGAAATGTATGAATTTTCAGAAACATATGAACTGCCTAAACTGAACCAAGAAAATATAAGCCAGCTAAACAAACGAATAACACAACTAGATAGAGGAAGTAATCAGAAGTCTCCCAACACAAGAAAAACTCGAGCCCAGATGGATTCACTAAGACAAGCTAATCACCATGCACCAACATCAACTTAAAGTGGATCAAGACCTCAACATCAGACCCAAAACTCTGAAACTACAGCAAGAGAATAGGAGAGACATTAGAACTTACATGTACAATCTGGAACTGCCTGAACATAGTCCCAGGTGTACACCAGAAAAGAAGCAATACATCAGACAAAGGCCTAATATTTAGTATACACAAGGAGCTCAAGAAACTATCCCCCACCCCAAAATTTAATACACCAATTACAAAATGGGCAAGGGAGCTAAGGAGAGACTTCTCAGAAGAAGAGATAAGAATGGCAAGGAAATACTCACCATCCATGGTCATAAAGGAAATGCAAATCAAAACAACCCTGAGATACCATCTTACCCTAGTTAGACTGGCCAATGTCTTGAAATCTAATAACAAATGCTGGTAGGGATGTGGGGGAAAAGGAACCCTAACACACTGCTGGTGGGAATGTAAACTAGTATAACCACTCTGGAAAGCAGTCTGGAGCTTCCTCAAAAAACTAAATACATGGGGTTGGGAAGGTAGCTCCGTGATAGAGCACTTGCCTTGCATGCGTGAGGCCTGGGGTTCAATTCCTCAGCACCACATAAGCAGAATAAGCTGGAAGTGGTGCTGTGGCTCAAGTGGTAGAGTACTAGCCCTGAGCTGAAGAGCTGAAGGACAGTGCCCAGACCCAGCATTCAGGCCCCATATATATATATATATATATATATATATATATATATATATATAATTAAAAAAACTAAATACAGACCTTCCCTACAACCCAGCCATACCACTGCTGGGCATCTACCCTGAGTATCACAAGCCAGGATATGATAAGGACACCTGCACATCCATGTTCATCACTGCACTATTCACAATGGCTAAGATATAAAAACAACCCAGTTGCTCCACAATAGAGAATGGATCCAAAAACTATGGTACCTACATACAATGTAATTTTACACAGCCATTAGAAAGAATAAAATAATGTCAGCTGCTGGGAAATGGATAGAACTAGAACAAATCATGTTAAGTGAGGTAAGTCAAAATCAGAGAGACAGATGGCGCATGTTCTCTCTGATATGCAGATGTTAGAGTTAAAATGCACTGGGATATGACAAATTATACAGAATTCTAGATATTCACATACAGTGAGACCAAAAGAGGATAGTCTTAGGAGAGAATCACAATGGTGCAATACCCAAGCACCTCTTCATATGCATATAAAATAATATATATTCTGAAATGAATTCTAAAGATATGGGAACAAAGGACTTTTGTCTTAATTCATTATTTTTCTTTTTTGATGACTGTATTCTTTACCTTGTATATTGTGTATTCACATGCACATCTGGGGGGTGAAGACACAGAATTGGAGGAAAAATGGAGAAAAAGTACAGCAGTGGAGAACACTGGCTGCACTGGTCATTGATGAAAGTGAACTATGGGTGGAGAGGAGAGGGAAAGAATGGGAGGGAATGAGGGAACAGATGACACTATGTGAAAGGAATGTACTTCACACCTGTTGTATGTAAAGCTAACCCCAGTGTATTTTACCTCTAAAACAACAACAAAGTAATTAAAAAAAAAAGAAGAAGAAGGCTTCCTGGAGGAGAAATCCAGGCGAGACAAACTCTGCCTGTGAATCAAACTCCGGCTCTTCAGGGCATGACTGGAAGTAGAAGGAAGGAGCCAGCTCCTGCTCATTCCAGTGAGGGGAGGCAGGAGGCCAAGGGGTCTCCAGGCTGGCTGCCTTCCCAGAGATGTCTGATTATGATGAAGTGTGGAAACAGAAAGTCTTCTACAGCTTGACTGTCAAGGTTAGAGAGCCCACTGTTCTCCCAGGTTCTCCCTACAGGCCCCACAGGAAACAAGTCAGCAACCTCTGGAAGGCCAAACCAGACCAGCCTGGAAGAGCAGACACTAACTAGGAAAGGCCCGGATGACACATGTGAATTCTCACTGCCTTCCTGCCACCCCCCAAGGTTACAGAGAATATCATGTAGAAACATGGCCAGGGAAAGGTAACGTAAAAGAATGAGCATTTGCCCTGAGCACCGGTAGCCAAGGCAAGCAATAAACAGAGACCTTGCCATTTTGGTCATGATCTTCTGACAAAGGAAGCCTATCACACCTTGGTTGGGAATGTAAGCTAATGTAACCATTTTGGAAGGCAGTTTGGAAATTCCTCAAAAAGCTAAACATAGTTATATGTTTGCATAGTTTATATATTTATATAATTATATATTCTGTGATCCGGTGATACCACTCTTGGGCATTTATCAGAATATTACAAGTCAGAATACAGTAAAGACGGTTGCACATCCATGTTCATTGCTGTACTATTCACCACAACCAAGTTATGCAAATAGCCCAGATGCCTTATGATGAGCAAATGGATGGAGAAAATACTATGTGTGTGTATGAATTTTACTCATCTATCAAAAAATATATTATGTCACTTACAGAGAAATGGATGAACCTATAATATGTTAAGTCAGTCAGTCTCAGAGAGATAAATGACATGTGTTTTCTCTCATATGTGGAAGTTAGATGTAAATTATAAATATACCTGAAAACATAGTGTCATATGTGTATATTTTTTTGTCAGTAAAGGGGCCTGAATTCTGGACCTGGGCACTGTCCCTCAGCTCTTCAGCTCAAAGCTAGCGCTCTACCACTTGAGCCACATTACCACTTCCACCTTTTTCTGCTTATGTGGTGCTGAAGAATTGAGCCCAGGGCCTCATGCATGCAAGTCAAGCACTCTACCACTGAGCTACCTTCCCAGCCCCATATGCATATATTTTTACACATTTAAACATACTGGCTAAAGTATGATACACTCAGGGGAGGGTTTCAATGTGTAACTCCTCTGAACAATCTACAAGTAGTTTAGCAAAATGAATATCAACAAACTAAACATGTTTTGGGGGGTGAGGTCACGAGGAGGAGGCCAGACGAATGGAGAGAGGAAAGGCCGGTAAATACAGTCATTATAGCCAATTCACATATGAGAAAACAGAACCACATAACCTGTAGGGGTGGGTGGGGTTGGGAGAGATGGAGGAGAACAATGGAAGGGCGACATGGAAAGATGCCTTGCACTCATAAACTTAATTGTTGAATTAAAACACCTTTGTATAAATACTTAAAGAAAACAAAGATAAAAGTAATTTAAATAAAAATAAAAGTAATTAAAAATAAACTTCTACCATCTCTAGCCTTACCTCCACTACTCATATAATGGAACCTGCCAAAAACAAAGAAATGTGCCCCCAAAGTATTGTGTGTGTGTGCGTGTGCGCGCGCATGCACACACGCGTGCGCGTGTGTGTGGCTAAGAATTAAACCTAGGGCCTTTCATGTGCTTGCAAATGCTCTGCCACTAAGACATAGCCTCTCAAAACTTTATATAATGCTTTTGCTTGCTTCTTGTAAAAGTGTTGGATGAATTTTCAACCTTGAAATATACATTATCTTAAAATCACAATGAGGAAAACCACACTTGGCAAGAGGCCTCAGTATCCCTGATGTTCTGTGTATCTGTGTGGGATAGTGAGACAATTTTTATCTATTTTCTTTCTGTCCCAACAATGTTTATGAAATAAGCTACAGTAGACACGTACCTCCTCTTAACACGAGAGGATAATCGCTTAGTTACTTTGGCTCTTTTTGCCTAGACACCTGTCTCACATTAGCTTTCGACCCTTCCAGAAGTGCAGGGGGACAAACTCACCTGGCAAGGGGCAGCCAAGGATTTCCATCCTCAGACAGATGCTCCCGTTATCAAACCAAGACTGGGGATTTATGCGGATGTAGCGGGCCACCATGGGGACGGGTAGCTCATTGAGCACCGGGATCTCCTTCTCGCTGTTGCCTTCAAATATCTATTTATGCTCAAGGGAAAAAGAAGAATCTTTTAGATCTTGATTACCTAAGGGTCAGAGAGTCAAGAATTCCCCATTCCTATTTTAGAATATCTGATCTATGCTAGGCATTGAGGGGAAAGGGAAATGAATTGGGTCTGGATCTTTCCCTAGAGATCCCCAATTAGAGGGACTGGGGGAGCACTAATTTACTGTTTGGGAGGTTATCAGCTTCTGGGCAAAGGGATATCACAGGGCCGTGGTGATTCAGAAGAAGAGTACCAGGCAGAGTTTGGGGGAAGAGACCTCTGGCACTGAAGGACAACTATTTTGTTCTGTAGGAACAAGTGGGTTCTAAAGAAAGGGGCAGTGCTGGTTGAAGAAGGCCAGTAAAGGGGCCCAAAGGCTGAAGATCAGGGGGCTTCCCTCTGCTGCAAGGAGAGGGATAAGAATGAGCAGAAAGTAGGAGGGGGAGCTGCAGAGTATGAAAGATGCTGAGACCATGCTGGGAAAATGCACTTGGGAATCAACACAAGAGTAACAGGGCCAGGACTTGTAGATGGGAGCTAATCGTGGCATTAAAGATTAGAAGAAGCCAGGAAAGTCCTGGCTGAACAGCTGCCCTGTGTACCAACTTGTGGCCTGGGTTAGTGACAAGCGCTTTGATTAATGGCTGAATTTGACCTCAACCCAGATGTGGGTCACTTGGCACCAGGTCTGGGGGGGGCATGTAGATAGGGGAACACTGTTTATCAGACTATGATAGTTGATTTGAGTTGTCACAGAATTGGCAAACTTCCAGGGGACAGCGCATAATTGTCTCTCTGTACAAACCCCATACAGCCAAGGGCCTGGTTAGAAGGAAGAAGAGACTCACCATGTCTCCAGATCCATTCTTAACAGTGACCCAGGAATGGCTGTCATTGCTCACCATGACTTTATAGGATGTCACCCAGTCACTCCTAGAGGAAAGTAAAACAGCACCAAGAATTCAGACTTTCAAATGCTCGCTTCTCCTACACCAAGGTGTAGAAGCAGGAGAGCAGACATGTTCTGTCCAGTACCTGTTCCATGACACTTACCCTGTGTCAGGTAACTGACCTGCTTATACCACTGTCTACCCATCCATAAAATGGAAATCAGGAAATTTCCCATCTTAAAGAATTAATTTGAACCTGACTTATGTAACTGTCACCCCTCTGTACATCACCTTTATAGTAACATTAAAAAGTTAGAATTAATTTGAGCATTGCCTGGTTTAATATCTTCTAACCATTTAGGACAATTCCCAACCCTGAGTAAGTATTCAATGTTGATTACACACATAAAGATATACAAAACACTTACATATTTGTTTGAATGAACAGTTATATCACACACAGTGGAAACTTAATGGAATCCTGCATGGAAAAATAGTATCAGTAAAGGCTGAAAATTGGTCTAGAAATTTCATTTGGGAGACTGACTTGGGAAAGCAACAAACCAGATGCAAATATAAAACAAAAATAACTGCTGAGTTTCTATAAGACCTGGGGGTTTTCTTTAGCTATCATACCAGGCAGACAGTTCCTAACCCAGGAAGAATCAAGTGATGGCTGGACCCAAACCCAGAGTCCTCGGGCCACATTCTACTGCATAGCAATCACTGGAGATCCAGGCATTCCTGTTTCCTTGCCTGTAATCACAGCTCACCTACTCAGAAAGCTGAAATCTGAAGGCTCTAAGTTCAAGGTTAGCCAGGGAGAAAAGTCTGTAAGCCTCCAATTCCAAAATAATTAACAAAAAGATGGACTGGATGTGTGGCTCAAGTGGTAGACTATCAGTGGAATGAGCTCAAGGCTCTAAGCTTAAAAATTGGTATCAGCAACAAAGAAGAAAAAGGAATCACTGGGAATAAAGCAGGTATCATCTGGCTTCCCAAAGTAGAGGACAATCTGATGGTTTTGACAAAAACAACAGAAAACAACAAACAAAAATCTTCCATGTAGAAAACACATTTTTTCCTCTCTGATTTAGTATTTTAATAGTATTAATTAGTAAGCAACATAGAAAAACCTTCCCCTGTGGCACCCCATCTCAATGTTTCAAATACTAGCACTAAATACTAATCTTTTAGTCTTTTAGAAAATACTGCCCACTAACATTTTTATAATCCTTTCCTCTACTGTGAAGTCCGCTTGACTGCGGATCCCAGAGCAACTGGGAGAAGGGTCTGAGCTTCTAGTCTGAGTCAGGCAGCCTAGTGAATTTATTTAGGAGCAGCTGGTTCAATTTCTTCTCCCTCATCTTCACTGTCACAAAGACACTTCTCAGGTGCTTGGCAACAGCCTCATCTCACATCTTTTCCTACCACCCTGCTTTGTTGGAATACCTGCTGGAAGCCACAATCCATCAACAACATGTCCCCCTATGAGAGTTTGGCACTTGAGCTAGGACTGCAGAATGAGACCAAGGCAGAGGAAAAGCCCCTTAACCACAGCTCATGCCGTGCTTGGAAAAGCACCTCCCACCCCAGCCCAGCAACAACCTGTTCCCACATGGCAATGGAGGAACGACGGCTCTGCCACCAATTTCCCAGCTGATGATGCCAGTGATCTGGCAAGACAGATGGCAGAAGGGCATCTTATCAAGACGGGGTAGGGGCACCCTCAGTCAGAAGAAATTTAATATGAAAAACATATAGGAACTACCCTACCACTTTTGTTTGGATAGTAACTAGTTGATTTTATGTCTCTGAGCTTTCTTCTGAACTTCAGAATGGCATCCTACCTTTCTACCTATCTCAGTGACATATCCCCAAACCAACTGACTCAGTTCTGCTCCCAGGCACCCCCACATGGTAGGTTAGCTGAGTTCCTACCTCAGAAAAGGCAGCAACATCAACTCAAGCAGGTCCAAATCCTGGCATCATCCGCACCCTCCCTGATTCAGTCCATCACCAAGTTCTGTCAATTAGTCCCAATCTTTCCAAAGTACATCTAAGTCTCTCCACCTCTCTTGCTACAATCGGCTAGGACTATGGTAGTTGCCTCCAAATAGTCTCCTGGGATCGAATTTGTTCCCCCAAAGCCAGAGACTTGCTTTGCTAGTGGAGTAGTATCCTGTCACCTCTTGGCTAGTTTGTTACTGAATTCTAATGGCTTGTGGATTCCTTTTGCATCTTTTCACTGATGTGATTTGAGAACAATGACCACTCTGTTTCTTTATTTCCAATCATTTTTTTTCTTTTTTTTTCCTGCCTTATTATCCTGGCTATGATTTCTAGCTGCATACTGAAAGGTATCACAGTGATAAACATGCCATTCCTGTGATGAAAAGAAAATCTTCACCACTGAGTAAGATCACAAACACATTTTAAAACTGCTGCTTTGGCATTTAGTAAGTGTATAGTCGTAATCTGAGCAAAAGATCAAGTTCTAACCTTCTTAGCTCTAATCCCGCTTTGTTAGATGCTGACACTAGAAGAACCTGACAAGCTATGTAACCTTCTGAAAAATAATAAGAATCTCTACCAGTATATCAGGTACTTAGAAATTGTTTTAGCTGAAAAGCACAGACTCCCTTCATGAGCACACAAATTAAGTAAAAGCAGCTAGCCATCCCTGCCTCCATTTGTATCTGTATCCCTTGACATAAACCATTCTCCCCTGCAGTCACTTTACAACTATCAGAAGGCAGAAAGAAACCAACAGGAGAATGGATCACCTGCTAGGTGTCAATGACTTATTGTAACTAGGCACTGCCTGATGAATCCTGAGACAAAGGACTGTTAGATCACCTCTGATCGTCTCTGAACAAACCTGAACTGGGGCTTCTTAAAACTACGCACACCTTTGGATCTATGCCCTTAATTCTTTGCCTGTTTAAACTGATAGCGCTCATATCTGTATCCCAAAGATAGCTGAGGATGGGCTGAAGTGCTGCCTTCCCATGGCTGCCTATGCTATGTAATAAATCACCATTTGCTGCCCTTCACTGTGTCTCTTTATTAGGTGGTAGTCAAATGGTCAAACCAGATGTGTTCTTTCTGGAGTTTGGGCCTTAGGTCTAAAACTTTGGTTTCTGCCATTGGTCAGAACATCATGGCCGAACAAGAGAAGGAAGAAACAGACAAGAGAAAGAAGATAATGAGGAACAGAGAAGGACCTGGGACAGCACATAATTCCCCAGGCTGCTTACATCCTCGGCCTCCTAAAGTTCCCACTGTCGCCCAAAATAATACTACCAGCAGGGGACCCAGTCTTCAACACATGAACCTGTAAGTTCAGCTATGTCTTGTAGCATCAATGAGATCCTTTGTCATAGGGGAGACCATCTCTAGTGTAGGCTGACACACTTGGACATAGGAAAGGAAGAGTGAGACAAGGGCATGGAGTTGTTAAACCGCCTGCTGGATCATGGAAAGCAATCAGCACCTATTACAGGACAGATACTCAAATGCAAATGGCCAGTTGGACCAGTTGGATGGCACAGTCAAATTCCCCTCAGAAGCTTGAGGAGATTTGTGGATTAGGAATCAGAGATTACTGTCACTGTAAAGAGGGTAATGGAGGAGAGTGAATAGAATCAGGGAAGCCTGGTTCCCAAGGCCCTCCACACCTTTCACTGCGCTTCCTGGAAAATCTGATGTGGTCTGAAGACAAAGCAGCAATGGCTGCCACTGCAAGATGAGATGAGGTCACATGGACATCAAGTATCCTTCATCTCTAGCGCTCAGGATCACAGGGGAAGGAAAATGAAAGCTGTGCTCTTGTAAGTTCTTATATACATTATTTTCTTTCCATGAATGAGCAACTACTTCTCTGCTTTGTAATAATAATACAAGTGGCATTTCAGTTTACAAAATGTTTCCATCCACACACCTTTCTTCATCTAGGAGCAAAGCAAGTTCATCATGAAGGATCAAACACAGCAGATGCATTTAGATGGGATAAAATGTGATTCTTTCCTCTTTCAACCATCCTGAAAGGAATTACAGCACTGATCTAAGGATCACTGGACTTTGGTTATTGCTTATGAATAGGACTTCCTTGACTGGAAATTACAGGCCTATTTTACAATGCACTAAGCATGTTGGAAGGCCTAAGATGGAGAAGAAACATGGGGCTTAAACTCATCCATAAGCATTAAACTGTAACATCTATGTGTGGGTCATGGTGACGTAAGGCACAGGTTATAAGACCTTCCAAGTGATACAGAAGTCTACTTTTTTTTATTGTGAAAATATGGTATAGAGGGGTTACAATTACATGGGCAAGATAATGAGTACATTTCTTATCAAGCATTGTTGTTTCCTCCTTTGTTTCCCCTTCCCATCCCTTCCCATCTCCCATCCCCCACCCCCCACACCCCCAGCCAAGGTTGTAAAGTTCATTTTTCAACATAACGACTTGTACATCTCATTGTTGCAATGGGTCTACCTATATCCCTATCGTTTATGATTTGTTTTTTCCCTTCCCCTCCACAGATTATACTGATATCAAATACAGTGAAAGCAGGGGTTATACCGTGGGGGAGGGACATACAAAGCAACAAAGAAATCATCTTATAAATATGTTAGAAACAATGGCATGAAAGAAAAAAACATTTGAATACTTATCTTGGGGTTCATTTCACCTAACATCAACTTATCTGACCTTTTCTGCTTGTTTCAGACATATACTAGTTATTGCAAATAAGGGAAACTATGGGACCTATGTTTCTTTGGGCCTGGCTTACGGAAGTCTACTTCTTGCTCAGAGCAGCCCATGACTCCAGACTGGAAACCTCATGCCATGGCCAACACAAACACGGACACAGGTGCATATATATCTTATAGGCCCTGGGTTACTATGTGAAACAAGAGACCAGTACATTTTTCCCTGCGTCTGCTCATCAGTGCATGAAGAACTTTGAAAGCTGTATGAGTTTCCCATAGCTGCTGTAACAACTAGGCACAAACACAGCAGCTTAAAGCCACACC